GCTTTTCCCTGCACCACTCCCATGCCAAACTCGGATACGCAGCGTACTGTGTGTGTGGGTCTGTGAGGCCGTTGCCAACCGCAAGACCAGCAAGTCGGATGGGAAGACCCACATGTTCGCGATTGGCTTTGTTGATGTAGTGCGCCGTCGCAGGGGCGTAGTGTCCCCCGTAGCTTTCGCCAACAACAAAGAGTTTGTTCTTCCGCAGTTTTTGGTGGGCCCCAAAAAACGCCTGGAGAAAGTGGTACATGTCCTCCGAAACCTCCTCCTCATTTGAGTCGTAGTCTTCCACTTCTGCGTATGAGAACCCCACTCCTGCAGGCTGGTCAACGTAAATCACATATGCCTCATTGTTCCATGAGTAGTTGTTTTTGTAGATATCCCCTGTGGTCTCATTCACCAGACACGGTCCATTCTCCGCCAGCAACGCAAACATGGAGCTGCACCCCGGCCCACCCGTCATCCAAAGCAGCACAGGGGCCTCTGGGTTCCCGTTGCGGGGCCCAAATGCCCAGTAAAAGTAGTGCTTGTCGCCTTCTCGGCCGGGGATGTCAAAGTAGCCGCTCCACTGCGGCACGTCCGGATCGCAGGGGTGCCAGCCGGAGCCCGTCTCACGCAGCCGTCCCTGTGGCACGACGTAAAGGGCCTCCACCGCCGTCGTCACCAGTGTAGCAGCAGCCACAAGGGAAAGAATCGGATAAATCAAAGGGCGTGCCATCCTGCAGAGTCTTTTCCCTCGCTTGATTAGTGCTCCTCGTAGTTTCAAGTTACGTTCTCTAACTGTATCAAATTTCGCTTCCTCGCGTGAACAAAAACTGCGGCAAACCCAACCCAAAGAGAAGAATAAAAAGAGGGGGAGGGGAGGAGAGCAGTCGGGGGACCGGCAGCGGGCAACCCAACGCTCACGCACGTGGGTTTTTGTGTGTCGCTGCATGCACGCAGAGGAAAATAAGGTATATGTAGTTGCATGTGCCTTACTGCTTGACAGGTGGAGGGAGAGAGAGAGAGAGATCCATGGAAGATGACCACCGCCCCGCCCCCTGATTCCCCTGAGCCCTTACCTCGCGTGCACCCCCCTTTGCTCTCCCCGCTCCTTGTGTGGGGAACAGGTGGTGCAGGGGGCTGCCTGACTTATTCTCCTTTCCTTCGTTCTTTATCCCCGCAGAGAACAAATATGGGTTCTTTGGTGGCAGCAAACATCATTTCCGCCGCCCCCTCTCGCTCTTGATCCGTTCTAAACACAAACACGCACAAACACATGCAGATCGTAATTAAAAAAGTAAAATACTACACTTGCGTCAATAAATGGGGTGGGTGGTGCCACACGAAGAATTCACCACCTCGGTCGCTTTCTCTCCCATTATTTTTCCTTTTCACCTTTTTCTCCGCAGAACATCGCCCGCTCCGCCGGGGGTGGCATCTTCACTGCCGTGGATTCGTTACGCGCGTGTGCAAATGCAAACAACGCATTCCGAGGCCGCCCCTAAATTAATTGAATTCTCCTATAAAACTCGTACTGGATTTGTCGTTCCCCAATATATTTACTACCGTCTTTTCCTCTACATGCACGCAATCTCTCTCCTCCCCGGAGCCAGTTTCATGCGTATTAGCCAGCGTCCATAAAAAAACAAGCCGAAGCAAAACAAGAAAGTAAAAAAAAAAAAAAGAAAACAACAGTCCACGTCAATTGAAGGGTCTGCCTTGCAGGAAGTTGCTTATCATCACAAAGGCAGAGGCTGGCTGATCCATTGGCACCATGTGTCCCGCGTTGTACACCTGCACGAAGGTCAGGTTCGACGTCGACGCCGCCGCGGCGGTGCGGACAAGCCCAGCCACAGTGCCGTCGGGAGCCCGGAATGGCTCGTCGGGGGCTGCGTTGAACACCGCTTTGCCAGGCCAGTTCAGTGCTGTCGTCCATTGCTTGTTGCCGATCCAGTTGCAGATAAAATCCATTTCGCCAGCGTAAATCATCACACTAACACCGTCCTCAAGAAGAGTCGGCACGGTGTAGTTGAAGTTCTTGAACCAGTCCATCAGGAACATTAGGTTGACCTCCATGTTGCATGACTGCCACACCTGTCGCTTCGCTCCAAGAGAGCTCTGCACATCCTCTCGGTTCATAAATGCATTCAGGGCGTCAAAATTGTAGCAAAGGGTCCCAATGCACGGCTTGCGGATGTCGTAGTTATTGAGCCCTGTGGCGCTGTAGACCCCAATGATTGGATTGCAGAGGACTCTTGCAGTGACGCAGGCCGCCTTCGCAATAAAATTGTTGTCGGAGTTACAAATTTCAATGGCCTTTTGGCATGGGGTCACCATGCTACTCATCTGTTGGTAGCCTTCCTCAGAGACACAAGGCTCTCCAAGCTTTTCCCTGCACCACCCCCATGCCAAACTCGGATACGCAGCGTACTGTGTGTGTGGGTCTGTGAGGCCGTTGCCAACCGCAAGACCAGCAAGTCGGATGGGAAGACCCACATGTTCGCGATTGGCTTTGTTGATGTAGTGCGCCGTCGCAGGGGCGTAGTGTCCCCCGTAGCTTTCGCCAACAACAAAGAGTTTGTTCTTCCGCAGTTTTTGGTGGGCCCCAAAAAACGCCTGGAGAAAGTGGTACATGTCCTCCGAAACCTCCTCCTCATTTGAGTCGTAGTCTTCCACTTCTGCGTATGAGAACCCCACTCCTGCAGGCTGGTCAACGTAAATCACATATGCCTCATTGTTCCATGAGTAGTTGTTTTTGTAGATATCCCCTGTGGTCTCATTCACCAGACACGGTCCATTCTCCGCCAGCAACGCAAACATGGAGCTGCACCCCGGCCCACCCGTCATCCAAAGCAGCACAGGGGCCTCTGGGTTCCCGTTGCGGGGCCCAAATGCCCAGTAAAAGTAGTGCTTGTCGCCTTCTCGGCCGGGGATGTCAAAGTAGCCGCTCCACTGCGGCACGTCCGGATCGCAGGGGTGCCAGCCGGAGCCCGTCTCACGCAGCCGTCCCTGTGGCACGACGTAAAGGGCCTCCACCGCCGTCGTCACCAGTGTAGCAGCAGCCACAAGGGAAAGAATCGGATAAATCAAAGGGCGTGCCATCCTGCAGAGTCTTTTCCCTCGCTTGATTAGTGCTCCTCGTAGTTTCAAGTTACGTTCTCTAACTGTATCAAATTTCGCTTCCTCGCGTGAACAAAAACTGCGGCAAACCCAACCCAAAGAGAAGAATAAAAAGAGGGGGAGGGGAGGAGAGCAGTCGGGGGACCGGCAGCGGGCAACCCAACGCTCACGCACGTGGGTTTTTGTGTGTCGCTGCATGCACGCAGAGGAAAATAAGGTATATGTAGTTGCATGTGCCTTACTGCTTGACAGGTGGAGGGAGAGAGAGAGAGAGATCCATGGAAGATGACCACCGCCCCGCCCCCTGATTCCCCTGAGCCCTTACCTCGCGTGCACCCCCCTTTGCTCTCCCCGCTCCTTGTGTGGGGAACAGGTGGTGCAGGGGGCTGCCTGACTTATTCTCCTTTCCTTCGTTCTTTATCCCCGCAGAGAACAAATATGGGTTCTTTGGTGGCAGCAAACATCATTTCCGCCGCCCCCTCTCGCTCTTGATCCGTTCTAAACACAAACACGCACAAACACATGCAGATCGTAATTAAAAAAGTAAAATACTACACTTGCGTCAATAAATGGGGTGGGTGGTGCCACACGAAGAATTCACCACCTCGGTCGCTTTCTCTCCCATTATTTTTCCTTTTCACCTTTTTCTCCGCAGAACATCGCCCGCTCCGCCGGGGGTGGCATCTTCACTGCCGTGGATTCGTTACGCGCGTGTGCAAATGCAAACAACGCATTCCGAGGCCGCCCCTAAATTAATTGAATTCTCCTATAAAACTCGTACTGGATTTGTCGTTCCCCAATATATTTACTACCGTCTTTTCCTCTACATGCACGCAATCTCTCTCCTCCCCGGAGCCAGTTTCATGCGTATTAGCCAGCGTCCATAAAAAAACAAGCCGAAGCAAAACAAGAAAGTAAAAAAAAAAAAAAGAAAACAACAGTCCACGTCAATTGAAGGGTCTGCCTTGCAGGAAGTTGCTTATCATCACAAAGGCAGAGGCTGGCTGATCCATTGGCACCATGTGTCCCGCGTTGTACACCTGCACGAAGGTCAGGTTCGACGTCGACGCCGCCGCGGCGGTGCGGACAAGCCCAGCCACAGTGCCGTCGGGAGCCCGGAATGGCTCGTCGGGGGCTGCGTTGAACACCGCTTTGCCAGGCCAGTTCAGTGCTGTCGTCCATTGCTTGTTGCCGATCCAGTTGCAGATAAAATCCATTTCGCCAGCGTAAATCATCACACTAACACCGTCCTCAAGAAGAGTCGGCACGGTGTAGTTGAAGTTCTTGAACCAGTCCATCAGGAACATTAGGTTGACCTCCATGTTGCATGACTGCCACACCTGTCGCTTCGCTCCAAGAGAGCTCTGCACATCCTCTCGGTTCATAAATGCATTCAGGGCGTCAAAATTGTAGCAAAGGGTCCCAATGCACGGCTTGCGGATGTCGTAGTTATTGAGCCCTGTGGCGCTGTAGACCCCAATGATTGGATTGCAGAGGACTCTTGCAGTGACGCAGGCCGCCTTCGCAATAAAATTGTTGTCGGAGTTACAAATTTCAATGGCCTTTTGGCATGGGGTCACCATGCTACTCATCTGTTGGTAGCCTTCCTCAGAGACACAAGGCTCTCCAAGCTTTTCCCTGCACCACCCCCATGCCAAACTCGGATACGCAGCGTACTGTGTGTGTGGGTCTGTGAGGCCGTTGCCAACCGCAAGACCAGCAAGTCGGATGGGAAGACCCACATGTTCGCGATTGGCTTTGTTGATGTAGTGCGCCGTCGCAGGGGCGTAGTGTCCCCCGTAGCTTTCGCCAACAACAAAGAGTTTGTTCTTCCGCAGTTTTTGGTGGGCCCCAAAAAACGCCTGGAGAAAGTGGTACATGTCCTCCGAAACCTCCTCCTCATTTGAGTCGTAGTCTTCCACTTCTGCGTATGAGAACCCCACTCCTGCAGGCTGGTCAACGTAAATCACATATGCCTCATTGTTCCATGAGTAGTTGTTTTTGTAGATATCCCCTGTGGTCTCATTCACCAGACACGGTCCATTCTCCGCCAGCAACGCAAACATGGAGCTGCACCCCGGCCCACCCGTCATCCAAAGCAGCACAGGGGCCTCTGGGTTCCCGTTGCGGGGCCCAAATGCCCAGTAAAAGTAGTGCTTGTCGCCTTCTCGGCCGGGAATGTCAAAGTAGCCGCTCCACTGCGGCACGTCCGGGTCGCAGGGGTGCCAGCCGGAGCCCGTCTCACGCAGCCGTCCCTGTGGCACGACGTAAAGGGCCTCCACCGCCGTCGTCACCAGTGTAGCGGCAGCCACAAGGGAAAGAATTGGATAAATCAAAGGGCGTGCCATCCTGCAGAGTCTTTTCCTTCGCTTGCTTAGTGCTCCTCGTAGTTTCAAGTTACGTTCTCTAACTGTATCAAATTTCGCTTCCTCGCGTGAACAAAACCTGCGGCCAGCCCAACCCAAAGAGAAGAATAAAAAGAGGGGGAGGGGAGGAGAGCAGTCGGGGGACCGGCAACGGGCAACCCAACGCTCACGCACGTGGGTTTTTGTGTGTCGCTGCATGCACGCAGAGGAAAATAAAGTATATGTAGTTGCATGTGCCTTACTGCTTGACAGGTGGAGGGAGAGAGAGAGAGAGATCCATGGAAGATGACCACCGCCCCGCCCCCTGATTCCCCTGAGCCCTTACCTCGCGTGCACCCCCCTTTGCTCTCCCCGCTCCTTGTGTGGGGAACAGATGGTGCAGGGGGCTGCCTGACTTATTCTCCTTTCCTTCGTTCTTTATCCCCGCAGAGAACAAATATGGGTTCTTTGGTGGCAGCAAACATCATTTCCGCCGCCCCCTCTCGCTCTTGATCCGTTCTAAACACAAACACGCACAAACGCATGCACGCGTAGAAGGAAATAAAAGTATGTAAAAAAATGCACCGAAAGAATGTGGATGATGCAAAAAATGTTCTTTTTTGTTTCCCATTTATTCCAACATACAGCTATTCGATTTGTGTTTGTGAGAAAATAACGGTGGTAACAGACATGAGACCCTTGAGGTGCATGTGTGTATGTTTCCCTTTTTTTTGCCGCTCGTGGCATTCCTGGTGCGTTTCATTAATTTTTTTTTCCCTTCTTTTCTCTTCCCCAATTTTCTTCTTTATTTCTTTCCCTTTCATGTGAGCTTTTGCCGCTGTTGATTTCCTGAGTTCTTTTTATTTCTGTTGCCCCTACCCGCCACATTTATTACTTCCCTCTGTTGCAAGCCGCAGGCATTTTCTCCGACCCCGCCCATAAGCTCAAAAACACCATGACACACACACACACACACACACACACAATAAGCGAAAAAGAAGCATGTGTGTGTATTATTATTACGCGCGAGTCATGATGATGTCGTCAATCTTCAGAATCATCATCACGCACTCCGCCGCCAGCCGTACGGAAGAGGTTGAGACAAGCAATGGCTGCACAACGTTCTCCTCCACCATGTCCGTTACGCAGCCCTTGCGCACATTTACACCCGCATTCTTGTTACCACGCGCATGGGCATTACGGAGCTCCGTGACGATAGAAATAGGCTGTAGCCCTGCATTCTCAGCAAGCGTGTATGGAATGACTTCAAATGCATCCGCAAAGGCACGCATGCAGAATGTCTGAGTACCTTGTGCCCGCTCACGCGCGTACTTGCCGAGCTGTAAGCATACCTCCGTCTCACCGGCGGCGCCACCAGGAATGATTGCACGCCTCTTCACAATAGAGCGAATAACACAAAGCGAGTCGTGCAGAGCGCGTTCGCCCTCCTCAAGGATCATGCTGTTGCTTCCTCGAAGAAAAAACGTGACTGTCTTGCCAAACAATTGACGGCCAATTGTGTTTGTTGGCGTCTGCACTCCAGTGACACGGATGATTTTACCACTTGGTGTGTTTTCCTCCATGACGAGGTCGGCGTGGCCAAATTTTTCTGGTTTCAGGTTCTCTATGTTCGCCACAGGGAGGCACCCGAGCGTCTTCGTGATGAAGTCAATGTCGTTGCGCTCAATGTCCTTCACCACCATAATTTTCATCTTGGCAAGAAAGTCAAGACTCTGAACGGTGACGGCGTCGCGGAGAACAGATTTTTGCACAAGTAACACATTCACCCCGGCGTCCTTAATCTTCTTGCAGAGATGCAGCAAATACTTGCGCTCCTCCTTCAGCGCACGATCCATTTGGCTGTATTCATTAATTGTCACGGTGCTCTCCATATCAGTCTTTGGAGGCGACAACTGGAACTGAATAAGAGCTATTGTCGCGTTTGTAATACGGACTGGTCCACCAGCTACATGTGAGGCCTTTTGCTTGAACACCATGCCATTTGTTAGCAGTACAGAGTCATCTATAGTACCACCGAGAGAAGTGACAACACGCACATCACGCAAATCCACATCACCATTGTCACGCATAATTCTTCGCACGGCATCCACAGCCATTGGAGCTAGCAAGTCGCTGTTCTGTGAGATGACCTTGGAGTTCAATGACGTAATTGCAGCCTTGATGAGCGTCTCACGATCCTCTATTTCGATATTAATGCTCATATCCTCAAGGATCTTCTCCGCCATCTTGGCACAATCGTTAAAGCACTCCGATATCTGCGTGGGGTGAATGCCTTTCATCAGCAGCTCCTCCACGGTGCGGAGAAGGGCACCGCAAAGCACAACAACACTTGTCGTTCCGTCACCCGCCTCCACGTCCTGTGCCTTGGAGAGCTCCACCAACATCTTGGCGCATGGATGTGTCACCTGTAGCTTTGACAAGATGGTAGCGCCATCGTTGCTGATGAGTACCTCGCCGCGTGGCTCCACAATCATCTTATCCATGCCACGTGGGCCGAGGGAGGTGCGCACACAGTCCGCCACAGCCTTTGCTGATGTGATGTTGCTTAGACGGACATCCGTCTGCGTGTTTGTGTCCTTTTTGTTTTCGTTCCCCTTCTTCATCGCCTGCATAATAATCCCTCTCAATTTGTTCAAAAAAAAAAAAAATTTTTTTTAAAGTTATTACCCTTTAAATATATATTTATTTATTTATTTATTTTTATATTCTATTTCTGCGTGTGTCTTCTTCTCTCTTTTTTTCTTTTTTTTTTGTTTTTTTCTTCTTTTTAAATCCTCTTTTTAGTTTTCCTCCCCCTCTGTTATTTGTCTCTTTCCTTCTTTCTCTCTCTTGGAAGTCTGCGCTTAACTGCCCTCAGTGGTGCCGTGTATTTGCTTTTAAGCATGCAAATAAATAAAAAAGAAAAGAAAGAGAGAGAGAGAGAGAGAGGGGGGGGGAGGGGAAACAAATAATCAAAACAAGACGCCCACACAATAAAAAAAAATAAAAATAAAAATAAAAATAAAAATAAAAATAAAAATAAAAATATATCACCTTCTCATGCCTGTGTTTTTCCTTTTTTTTTTTTTTTTATTGTTCGACGTTGGGGCCTCCTCAAGTCGTCCTCACCACCACCATTGCCGCAAAACACACCGACATCTCGCAGGCGGGGAGAATCACACATGAATGCAAATGTATGTAAATATAAATATATATAAATGTGCCTTTAGATCAACAGGAGAACAAAAAAAAAAAAAAAAAGAGAGGGAGAGAGAGGGAGGAAGAGAAAGACTCCATCAAACTAAAAAAAAAAAAAAAAAAAGAAGAAAACCCGCAAGAAGAAACACAAAAGAATGAGCCTCATCAGCCACCGTCCAGGAGGAAGATGGAGGGGAAACGCAATAATTTCCGCATCCGCCGTGCAAGCAAAAAAAAAAGGCTTTTTTTTTTTTTTGAGGTGAGTTCTTGTCGATCTTATGCTTCAAACAAATAAATATATTTATTTATATATTCCTCATTCCTCTTTTTTTTTTTTTTTTTTTTTTTTTTTGAATTCATGAGTTGTTTGTAGTTCTGGTCCCCCTCCCCTCCCCGCCTCAGCAATTGTGTCTCTTCAGTGGCACTTCCCTCTTGTCCCGCCCAAATTCACATCCACATGCAACCACACACTTCCCTGCGCCACCATTTATCAGGCATCCATCCATCCATCCACTGCTGCTGTTGCTGCTCAAAACTCCACGGAAAAGTACGGATGCTCAAGTGCCTGCGCGGCTGTAAGACGCTCGCTGGGTTCGTACTTCAGCAAGCGGCGAAGAAGATCAATTCCCTCCGGGCCGAGCTTCGCATACGCTGGCACCGTGCGAAACTGCGTCTCGCATTCCGCCGCGAGGTTCTGCAGGAACTCGGGCTTAGACAACATGTTAGTGGAATTGGGGTACTGATTCATGGAAGGCCATACCTGATTGTTTGGTGTCCCCAAAAAACGAAAAATGCGAAGCAACTGATCTGCGTCATTCTTCCCAGCAAAGAGCGGGGCGCCAATGACCATCTCTGCAAATATGCATCCGACGGACCATATGTCCACAGGAGTTCCGTATTGTGTGGAGCCAAGCAGTACATCCGGGGAACGATACCAGAGCGTCACAACCTCGTGCGTGAACTTCTTCACGGGAATGCCAAACGCACGTCCCAGACCAAAGTCTGCCAGTTTAAGGCTCTTCTCACGGGAAATGAGTAAATTCGGTGGCTTAAGATCCCGGTGCAAAACATTCCGATCGTGACAAAATCGCACTCCATTCAAAAGGTCCCGCATGAAGTCTTGAATGGTGGCCGCATCCAAATTGCCCTCTTCCTGATCCATGTACTTCTTCAAGTCCAGCTCCATGTACTCAAACACGAGGGTGAGGCGGCTCTCGCTATGGCACACGTCAAGCAGCTTCACGATATTCGCATGACGAAGTTCTTTCAGTAGTGAAATCTCTCTAATGGCAGTGCATGGCACCCCTTCCTCTTCTGTATCAAGACGAATGCGCTTCAATGCAACAGTGGCACCCGTGGCTGTGTCTCGAGCTCTGTACACCACACCATATGTTCCCTCACCAATCTTCTCCTGTCGCTCGTATCGAGTGCTCATTAAAGGAATATCTTTAACTAAGTGTATATATGTATATGTATATATTTTTCTTTTCTTCTTTTCACCTCCCTTGTCGGTTTTATTTTTATCTTTATTTTCTTTTTTTTTCTTCTTCTTCCTTGGTTGTGGCTTTTATAACCCCCCCACCCCACTTCGTATGGACGCCCACGCCAAGTCACACACGCACGAAAAGGAAGAGAAACAGTCCAACGCACCGTTCAAATAAGTCGACCCTCTCTCTCTCTCTCTTTCTCTCAATTCCCTCTATACACAGACGCCCCGTCCCTCGCCTCCTTTATTTCTCCCTCACGGAAAAGAAAAAGAAAAAAAAAAGACAAGGAAAAGAAAAGAAAAAAAAACAAATGAACCAAACAAGCATCTCCGTCCCCACTCTCCCTCATCACGCATCACTTCTGCTCAACGGGGGGCCATGAGAAGAAGTGCGCATCGCCAGCACTCATGCACGCACGCACTGAGGCGGCGGTGGCAAGAGGGGGACGGCACAACCTTCCCCAAACGTCAAAAATAAAAAAAATACAAACCTTTTAAATTGTATTTTTTTTTATTTTGGAAACTACTTAAATGAAAAAAAAAAAAAATGGTGAAACCCGTCGGGGAAGGCCATTTCCTCTACACACCAACGAGCCGCTCTTGTCGTTGAGGCGGCTGCGGCTCACGTTGGCGTGCCGCACGTTAGTTGCGCGGCTTCTCCTTCTTCTGGCGGTAGAGGGCGTAGAGGCCGACGTTCGACACCTTCACGATCTTGAAACGCACTCCGGGAATATCGCCGACGGCGTGGCCGGAACGGCCGAATCCAGACACCAGAACCTCGTCGTTCTCCTCGATGAAGTGCAGGCAGCCGTCATTGGGCACGAAGGCGATGATCTTCTTGTCGTTTTTGATCAGCTGCACGCGCACGCACTTACGAATGGCAGAGTTCGGCTGCTTTGCACCAACGCCAATCTTCTCCAGCACGATGCCCTTCGCGTGGGAGGAACCGCCAAAGGGATTGGCCTTCTGCGCCACGAAGGTGTGGGACTTCTTCCAGCCCTTGTCGGCCCAGCGGTTCTTGCGACGCAGGCGCACAAGCTTGCGGGCTGCGTGTTGTCCGTTCGCCTTTGTCATGACTTCCCCGATTTCTGCCGGGAGTGAAAACGCAGGAAGAAAACAAAGCACAAAAAAAAAAAGCAGAAAACAAAAAAGAAAAAAGAAGTGTCGCAGAGGAAATTCAAAATGCAAATTGGGACAGTACACGCCTCTCAACTGCGCGTCATGCAGCGGCAAAAGCGGAGTCAACGAGGCCACAAAGGTCTGCGAAAACAAAAATAAAAGAAAAAAAAAGAGCACAAAACAAAAGTACTCAACTTTGACGGAAAAACACCCACTAAATTCATCACGCGCCAAGATGCGGCAAGGCTCACACCAACGAGCCGCTCTTGTCGTTGAGGCGGCTGCGGCTCACGTTGGCGTGCCGCACGTTAGTTGCGCGGCTTCTCCTTCTTCTGGCGGTAGAGGGCGTAGAGGCCGACGTTCGACACCTTCACGATCTTGAAACGCACTCCGGGAATATCGCCGACGGCGTGGCCGGAACGGCCGAATCCAGACACCAGAACCTCGTCGTTCTCCTCGATGAAGTGCAGGCAGCCGTCATTGGGCACGAAGGCGATGATCTTCTTGTCGTTTTTGATCAGCTGCACGCGCACGCACTTACGAATGGCAGAGTTCGGCTGCTTTGCACCAACGCCAATCTTCTCCAGCACGATGCCCTTCGCGTGGGAGGAACCGCCAAAGGGATTGGCCTTCTGCGCCACGAAGGTGTGGGACTTCTTCCAGCCCTTGTCGGCCCAGCGGTTCTTGCGACGCAGGCGCACAAGCTTGCGGGCTGCGTGTTGTCCGTTCGCCTTTGTCATGACTTCCCTCGAAGCGAAATGGTTTCTCCGTCTGCCGGCAAAGCGGTGGCAATGGCAACAGTAAAAATGACAAAAAAAAAGGGAAAAAAGTCACTGAACACCATCATGTTAAAAAAACGACAGCGGTTGCAAAAGCAACGGCCTCATGCGTTGCGTGTGTGTGTGTGTGGGGAGGGTGTTTTAATCTTTTGGTGGGTGGGTGCAGTCCACCAACGCCAAAAAAAAAAAAAAAGAGTTAAAACGAAAAAAAAAAAAGAAAAAGAAATGAACAACCGACAAAGTCTGAAGGAAATACAGAGCCCTGAGCCAATTTTCTGCACGATGCGACAACATGGTTACTCCTCCGCCACGACGTTGGTCTTGGTCTGCACGTAGATGCCGTCCAGGAACTTGCGGATATCCTTTTTCTTCACCAGGCAGAGCTGATGCATCACGGCGGCCTCGCGCGAGACTTCCTCCAAGTCATTGCCTTCCAGCACGAGTTCGTCCTTCACAACGGTGGGGTCCGTGCGGTAGACCTTGACGCCATCGGCAACAACCTGCCGGCGAACACGCTTCTCGCCAAGGAAGTTGCGAATCTCCACAAGTTGGTTCTCCACGGAGACTGAGATGGGAAAGTGGGCGTAGGCGAAGCGAATCTTAAAACGAAAGCCCCTTGTCACACCCGTAATCATGTTGCGCACATGTGAAAGTGCCGTGTTGATGGTCGAGTTGTCAATTTTTGTGCCAAACCAACGAACGGCAGTGAAGGTGCGGAACTTCTTGTTCACACGGAAGTCCAGCTGCAGGTGGCGGAGGTCCTTCGTGAGTGTGCCTCGCTTCCCCTTGACGGTGACGATGCGGTCCTTCACGGAGACCTCGACGTCCTCCGGATATGTGATGCGGTCCTGTGCCCTGATTTTCATGTATGCACCTTCACTAACTCACCGCTTTCCGTGCGTGTCTGCACCGTCTCTCACTCTTTCTTCCTCTCCCCTGTGGGCACAGTGTGGAAGAATGAGTAAAAGAAAGTGCCGTGGCCCCTCCTCTTGTTTCCCTTTTCCTTCGTCTCTTTGTGTGTGTGTGTGTGTGTGTGTGTGTGTGCCATTGGACACGTGTCACCATGCACAGGGAGCATTTAGGAAGCGTGCACGGGGAAATAAACAAAGGAAGAGAAGAAAAGGAGATGTCAGCAAAAAAAAAAAAAAGAAATATATACATACATATATAATAAGAGGCAAAGAAACAAACAGCCGCACACCGCAACCAAAAGACAGAAGGACGTGTATACACAAAAAGACGTGGACACCGTACCGCATTGGGCACACATGTACACACCGATGCATGTTGCACCAAACTCTATCACGGAAACGCGTACAAATGATAAATAAAACAACAGCGAGACCCTTTTTTTTTTTTTCGTTTTCTTCTCCCACCGTCTTTAAAACAAACATAAAAACAAACAGTGCGTGTAAATATCTAACAATTAAAAAAGGGAAAAAATAAAGAAAGAAGAAAAAGAAGGCAACATGGCACGGGATAGACAAGTGAGGAAGCATTAAAAAAAGAAAAAAGAAAAAAAAGGGCGCCATTGAAATGACGTCCATCTTCCCGCCTCAGTCCGGGCACGCACGTACTTAATTATATCAACAGCGCCAGCCATTTCTAATTTCCTCCTCCGCCTCCTTTTCTTTCTTTTCTTTCATTTACTTTTTTTTTTTATTTTCTTCTTTTCTTCTACGACGTCTCATCGCACCCCTCATCCTCGCAGGGGGAAATACTCCCCTCCCCGGGGCGCAGAATCCCTCGTGTTGCCTGTAAAAGTCTAACGTTGCAAACAATCAAAAAAAAATAAAATAAATTAAAATAAAAAACATGAATTAAAATGGCGGGTGTGTAATGCGTAGAGGGGCGTCGATAAAAGAAGGGGGAAAAGGAGGGAATAGGGAAACAGGACGAACACGGCAGTAGTCCTCCTCCTCCTCCTCCTCCGCTCGGTGGCGTCACCCCTCTTTCTTTTCTTTTCTTTTCTTTTCTTTTCTTTTCTTCTTTTTTTTTTTTTTTTTTTGTTGCCACCTCCGTCGCTAAAATTCATACCCCTCCCTTTTTTTTATTTTATTATTTTTCTTTTTGTGTGTGTGTGTGTGTGTGTGTGTTCCTTTCTTCGTTCTAATGTGCAGGTATTGCAATGGCAAGACACACGACACGCCCCCCCCATCCATACAAACCCACAAAAAAAATGGCCCACCGAAATGAGAATGTGCCAAAGAAGTAGCAGCATGAGAAAAAACAACATCAACACCCACAACCCCCTCCTCCTTTTCTTTTTTCTTTTTTTTTTTTTTTTTCCTTTCAAAACAAAAAAAAAAAAAAAAGGTCAGAAACCATGCACGGAAATATGCATATATATAATCATACCACATGTATGCTCACGTACTCAATTTCCGCCTTTCACGTTAATCACCTGGCGATGCCGTCAAAGCACAGTGGTGGGACAACTGGCTGGTCCTGTTGTGGCTGTTCTCGCAGTGGTGTGCCTTCTAGTGCGCGTGGTGTGGAACGCCTCAAAGAAATAACAGAAGGAGCGGCATTACTGTCATCCGCCGTGTGGGTCGCCTTTTCTGACAACGGCATTGAATTTCTACCAAATATACTCGCCGCCCGTGAGAACGTCGCCTGTGGAGAGCGTGGTGGCATAGCTAAACCCGTCATCGCCTTGCTCGGTGTGAGTTTCATTGGTTGCTTCTGCTGCTGAAACATCTCATTACTCGCGCTGTTGCTTCGTTGCTTCAAATGTTTCAACACTTGCGGGTCGTAGAACGGCTTCATCCGCACTGAACCTGGCATTGAGGGATTCGGAGAGTCCAAGCTGCCACCGGTATTTGTGCGCGTGGACATTCCTGTCGCGGAACGTCCCCCACTGATGCGGCTGCTTAATTGCGGCACACCAGTCGTATGTGTGCGTGTGAAATGCGATGTACTTGTGCGACGGAGCGAGTTTCCCGATGGCGCTGCATGGGCAGTCTTCTTCTTCTTCCGGTTCGATGAGGCGCCCCCCACATGTGGCGTACCATGCGGTGTTGGCGGGTGAGTGGATTTTCCTCCGCACAACTCCGCCAAAGCGGCAAAACTCGTCACATCGGTCATTGCACGGGCAAAGCATGCAACCTTCGCTGTTGGTTTTGTGTGCTCTGTCTCGAGAGGATGTATTGTACTCGCATTACGAGCAAAGTTAAACAAGGAGTCATGTTGAGCCATCACCGAACTTGCCGCAAAGTTGACGTCACCTTCTGACACAGGTACCACCAACGCCGTCGCACGTCGTCCAAACTTACTCTCAGTCTTTGCCGTACCCTTCCCTGACGACAACTTTTGCTGGGAATGCCCCTCTTTCGTGTATCTCAGAGGAGTAAGGGTTGTGGTGTTGCGTGCGAAAAACATCGCTTCCATTTCACCCTTACGAGGAGACACAGCTGAGCACGCCGTGGTACGACTGCGTTGAAATGTGTGAATAGGAGAGACAAGTTTGCTGCTTCCAACCACACGTGCAAGGTTGCTGCGCTTCGTCTTATCCGACAGCCTCTCTAGAATGCGACAACTGTCGGTGACGCTTGTATCCTTGCTGCTTGAGGGCACATAAGCCGTTTCGGGGGCACCGTTCTTTCCAGGCAGCATGAGCCGCAGCGTGGACGTGGCGTTTGTGTTGACAAGACTTTCCTGTCGCACCATCCGTGCCATCTGCATCACATGTTCCATGTTTCGAATGAGTTCCATGTAACAGACATGCTCGGATTTGGGGGACAAATCCCAGTGGTCGTACCAAATGAGCAGGCCGTTGAGTGCGTTACCGGCCCGTCGGCGGCGATGGTCAACGAGGCGTGACAACACATCACTCTCCTCCACGGACCATTTGCCGCCAATACGCTGCGGTTTACCGGCAATCTCTGCCACCACCTGGCGCAGTTCATGCATGAAGGAGTGAAATTGCGCCTCCGGCCGCAGTTGTACAGCTGGCACCAGTAGGCCAAACTTGTGCAAGCTTTGGCGGTTCAGTACATACAACTCAATCTTGAGGCGGTCCATCATTATGCGTAAGCACACACGAATAAGCGCCACGACCTCCTCAGGGAATTGAAAGTCCAGTGGGAAAGCGGAATACCCACTGCCCCCGCCATAGGCGTCCATATTCGCCGCAAGCAACTCCTCAATGCGATCACGCAATTCACCATTGTCCTTAAAGCCATCAATTTCCTCATTCGCCCCGCGAAGTCGCATAAATTCCATTACACTGCGCAACTCCTCATCCCTCGATGCGAGGGCGGCTGAAAGCTTTTCGCACTCTACCTGTCGCGCCTCAATCACACGTCGCTGCTCCTTAAGCAGTAAGTCACTGTTCTTCACGGATTTTTTCTTCACAACCGTGTTCTTCTGCATTGCGGTCTTTAGTTTCGCAGCGGCATCCGCACACTGCCTCTCCGCCAGTGCAAGCTCCTCGCACTTGTGGGTGTACAGTGTTTTAAAATTCTGCAGTTCGTCTCCTGTCAAATTCGTTTCATTCCTCTCTTGCTTCTCCAGCAATTCCTTCTCACGGCGCAAACGCTCCACGAGGTCCTTGTAACCCTGCAATTCCCCCTCGTAGGCCCGGATGTCATCGATAAGACGCAAGTTTTCATTCTCAAGCCCCGCCAGTACCGTCTCGAGGGCCACGACAGACTCAAAGGCAGTTTCCTTTTCAAAGTGGTCTATCGTATTCACGGCAGTGGCGGTTTTTCCACGCTCGCCGAGAAGTTTCTTGGCTCTTGCCACGTTGCTCTCCACCCGCAGGTCGTCCCACGGCACTTGGCCACTCATGTTTTCTACCTTCTCGCCACCCCCTTCGTCCTTGTTGTGGTTTTTGTCGTCACTGAAATCAAGCGCAATACGTTGCATGGCGCGTCGTTTCCACATGCGAGCAAGTAATTTTAGCGCACGGATCTCTTCCGCCATGTGTGTAAAACGTTTTTCAATTTCTGCCTCATTAACGGCGGTTGCCTCTGCCAATGCCTCTTCGGTACGATTAAGGAAAGTTTCAAGGGAATTCATTTCACGCAACAACGTGGCGTTCTCCTCCGTGGCATCGAGCAAGGCCTTCGACACCTCCTTCATTTCATCCTCCATCTGCGCCTGGCGAAGTTCATGCTCCGTGTTCGCGTCCTTTGCAATACGCAACTCGCTCTCAACAAGGTTCAACTCCCCACGCAAGTCCTCCAAAACCTCTTCCAGTGACCAGATACGCTCGCAGAGCACACGCTCACGTTTTGCCGCGTAATATCGCTCCCGCACTCCCTCTGACGTTGACAAGTATACATGTACCCCGCTAAACTCCTCCAACCCGGGATCTTTGCGATGCTTTAGCAGAATTTCATCCGCGGTGAGTGCATTTTCTTCTTTGAGTGCCGCCTGTCCCTCCTCGTTGATTGCACCATCGTGGTTCATGACGGCATTAATGTCCTTATGTGTCTCCGACATTGCGGCGACGGGTGACACACTTGGACTAACTTTATCGTCACTTTCGCTCTCACTCACTTCATGTGAGACCAGCCTCTTCGACGTGGGTGATGCATTCTTAAGAGTGCCACTTCTGATGGATGCCAAAGCTGGGGAACTGCGTTTTGGGGAAGCATTACCATTCTCTAATTCTGCCAGGCGGCGTGCGAGCTCCTCAAGGGTGGCGTTGCGTTCCATCACGCCCTTGTACAACATTTGGTTCTCCTGCACGCAGTCTTCAAATCGCTGGGAGTCAACGCTATGTTCATACCGAACAAAAGGTGAAACCGAAGAACGGTAAAAGGCACGGGCTGCTGCACTTGCCTGCTGAGGCGTTACTGCAGGTCCATTCATCTCTCTAAAACCAAATGGCGTGACAGGTCTTGGCGATGGTGAGACGTCCTTCTCACGATGTTGAGCGTTTGCCATTGACGCCATCCGTGACCGTGACTCTGCTTCACGTTGGCATTGGTATTCGATCGTCCTGGACTGTTCTCGTAACATTTCAAGTAATTTGGCCCTTTCGCGCAGCAGCTGCCCCACGTCCACATTCTCCTGCGATTGAACCTCAGAAAGTGGAAATGTCACCGACAGATCACCTGTTGTGACGCCAGCACCAGAATTGCCACCGCGCGAGAGAGAGTTGATGTCCACATAATGGAATGTTAACAAATCCTGCTCGGAGCCATCGTCCAAACCGTCAAAAAAGACGCTCACGACATCCCCGTGCTGCAGCTGTCGACGTTCCCCACTCTTCAATCTGAATCCGTTGACATGACACTCTACCGCATCGCTTATACCTGCATCGGCGTCATCGGATGGAATGTGTCGCATCCAGTACCGCTGCTCACATGACCGCTGCAAAACAAGTTCAAATTCAATGATGCCATAGTCTACTTTGTTACTTAACTCATGATCTCCCTCCCGCGGCTGAGCGTCTGACTTTTGCGCACGGCCCAACATTTCCGCAATGTGGAATTGTACAATCTCCTTCGTGAGCGATGTGACCCCGACACAGCCACCCTGCAGGCACGAGCCACCAATTCCACCGACGCTGGCGTACTTTCGGTGCGCCGTGATAACCAAAGGTGAAGCTCCCACGGCAGGGGCGGCAATGACTGCTTCCATCGCGGTGACTTTTCCTTGCCTCATTGAAACAGCACCGCATCCCTTCGCCATGCCAGTTGCCTTCTCCAGCGTAAGAATAACATCCTCAGCATTGGATTCTGCGTCATACATGTCCGCGTTACATTTGTTCGTGAGAAATTCTACATGACGCTTCAGCTGCTCATTTTCTTCCTTGAGCCGTGCATTTAATTCCAGTAAATTGGAACGCGTTTGAAACGTCCTATTTACTGTAGGACGGTTACGAATCTTACGAACATCCTTCGCGTACTGAAGTGTGGCGCATGACTCTTGATAACAAAACGAGACAGGGGCAATCGTGGCAATCATAAACGTTTTGCTGTTGCCACCCAAGTTGTCCTTCAACACCATCGTCAGCAATGAATCACGGTAGTTCACGTATTTTGCCCCGCGTGAAATGTCATTTATGACACGTGCCAGCGTAGCAAGAGACTGGTTGATTTGGATGCCCTCGTCACGACTCTTTCCGTCCGTCTTGGCTGTCTTCTGTCGCTCACTCCCGGCAAGATCCACAAGATTGATCGTTGCATTCAACTCCACAGACTCCTTCGTAATGCGATTGGTGCGCCATTGTGTGACGCGGAACTGAACCACGGCGTGGCTGCGACTACTGCGCGCATTCATACCCGTCTCCCCGGTCTGTCGACGGCGCAGTCCCAACTCCAAAAGCGGGTATGCCTTCTCCGCCGACGTCACCGCTTGCTGCTGAAGATTGTGAATGGTCATGGTCTCTTCTTTTCGAAGAACGTCGCGCACAAAGTTGACATGTAGTGGACCCTTGCGTGAAAGAAGACAGTACACCTCATTCTGGTAAATCTCAAAGAAGGAAAGTAAAACACGGTACGAGTACTCGGTCTCGGTGTTGCTCTGGTACCCACGTCGAAGGCCTTCTAGACGCTGAAAGAGATCGTCAATTGTGCGTGGCACCACGCCAGGGTCACGGCGACTACATGTCGTGTCGCCAAACAATGTAAACGTCTTGCCACTCCCTGTCTGTCCGTATGCAAAAACGCATGAGTTGATGCCATCAACTGCGGCGCTCACGGCATGCACCGCTGTAGAGAGATACACGTCCTCCTGTGTGCCATACTCAGGAGGACGAATAAAGTCACTGTCACGAATCAATGGCATCTGCAGCATGGAGTCTGCATCCATGGAATTGAGACACTTGTCGTATTCAAAGTAGCTTGCTGTTGCCGTCGATGTCAGGAGTTTCCTCGCAAGGTTCTTATACTTCCCCCCTGAGGAGCGGGAGGTGAGAAGCTGCACCACACTATCCGCATCCCGTGCCACGCACGACGCGTCATCAATGGACCTTGGGTCATGCATCACCACCACATTCTCAAGCGTGGAGACACAAATACGCTGGGCATCTTTGATGTTTTCCCGCATCAAGCGCCGTGGGGCGGTGTTATTAACTGCCATGCCTGGTACCGTGGCGACATCACGAACACGCACGCATACAAAGATATGCCCATCATCAGGGTAGTCTGACCCCATGGCTATGGTCCAATTGCCTGCCTGCCGGTCTCCCTTTTGTTCCTTATTTTTTCTCTCTTTTCTTGCTGCTGCGTGTAGAAATAATGAATTGTTCCACGCCCACACGCACACGTACAAAAAAAAGGAAAAGATACAGGCAGAAACGCCTCCTCTTATCTTTTATTTCTTACCTTCACTCTAATCTCAAAATCACGTCCCGTGCCTTCTTTCCAAATAATGAGGGAAGGACACTTGTGTTTGTATATGCCGCAAAGAAACAAAAAACACTATAAAGTAAACCAAATAAATATGTGCACACCCGGAAGGGGGGAAGTAGGAGTGGGAGGCCTAAAACAATGTAATCCCAAAGGGCAAAGTAAAAAAAAAAAAAAAAAAGGGAATCACAGGTTCTCTACGCCCCTCCTCCTCCTCTCCTTTTCTTCTGCGTGTGTGTGCCTTTGCCTTGCTGCTGTTTGTCTATGCCCCTCACTTACTTCTGGCCCCTGTTTCTTTTCTTTTGTTTGTGGTGTGTGTGTTTTGCCTGTTTGTTTGCCTTCTTCCCTTCTGTGTGGTTTGCTGTTTGATTGGGCGGTCGGGCAGCAGCACGTGCGGGAAAAGCCCCTGACGGTCAATCAACAAACAGAAGAAGTAGATGCACCCAAGACCTGCTGGTGCCCCTTTTCTTCAGGAAGCCAAAAAGAAGAAAAAAAAAAAAAAAAAGAAAAAAAAAAAGTAAAAGACAACGAGCGGCAGACAGAGATACAAACATGCATGCATGGAGCAGGCACATCGCCTCATTTTCATGTGGCCTGTGGACTCTCATTTGGTCCCTTCCATTGCGTCAAAAAAAAAAAAAGGAAAAAAAGAAAAACAACAGCAGATGTTCCTTCTACACTCCTTCCCGCAAGCAAAACCGGAAACAACGTATAATACAATGGGAAGAGATACAACAATAACAATAATAAAAGGGAGAGAGAGAGCGAGAAGGAGCAATGACACGTCTGCTCACACTCCCAAAACCTCAAATCAAAACGCGCACGCATACATACATATATAAATATATAAACAAAATGTACGCACACGATTGAAATGAATAAACAACAAAAAAAAAAGAAAAAAAAACGCAATAAAAATCGCAGTGACACACACACACACACAAGAAAAAAAAAAAAAAGAGTAATCAATATAATACAAAAGTGGTGACAGCAGAAACAAAAAAAAAAAAGTTCTACTATTAATTTTTGTTTTTTTTTGTTGTTTTGTTTTTTTTCCTTCATTCTTTCGCCGGAAACATTATTTCGGCTCGACCCTCACGGCAACGCGGTAACAAAAAATGAGGGTTCCGCGGAGAGCTCATCGGGGTCTGCCTTTCCAGAGAACGGAGCTGCCACGGCTCCAATTGATCCTGCCCCTAAGGAACGTGAGGGCGGGCTCACGCCCAATACGGTGATGCGGGAAGACGGCTCACTCGATTTTTTCAAAATCCCTGGCGCCGCCACCGAAGAAAACGCCTCCGACGCAGTCGACGATCCCCCAGCATTATTTTCGTTGCTGATACTACCGTGTGCGCCTGCGGCACTGCGACCATTCCGTACTACAAATGGGTTTGGTTGTCCTAGATGGCCCTGAGAAAATGCGGAAGAAAACGGCACTGATGAAGGCAATCCCGTTGTTACTGCTGGCAGCGGTGGCGGTACCGCGTCCCCTGGCCTCCGTTGTATCTCCATTTCTAACATACGTTGAATATTCCGATGATGAGTGACCATGTCGTGTAGATGAGATTCATAGCGGGCGGCATCCGAGGTTGGAGACGGTTTGCATTGCGTGGGTAGATCCGGTGCGGACCACACGGGTACGTCCAAAGCCGAGGGAGCGGCTGTATGTTCTACTTTTGTCTCCACGTTCGGCACCGATATTGGCGTGGCGGATGGAAAAGAAAAATTTGGCGCCAAAGAAAAGGCTCCAACCGCTCTGGTGGGATCGTAGAGGGATGGACCAAATGAAAAGGGCGGAGGGGCTTGAAAGAGCAGAGCCGACACATTCGCCGCTCCCCCGTTTGTTGAAGGCCCAACCGAGGACGGGAACCGTTCCGGCGATTTCTTTGAAGAAATTTCCAGCCCCTCCCTCTCCGCAGCTACAATGGCGGGATTCACCCCACCGCCGTTACTGCAAGGCGGCGACTCAGAAGTAGCCCGTTCCGTCCATTTTCTTCCAATTGCCGGAAGACGTTCCTCCCCCTCATCCTTCCTCCTCGGATTTTCATCCATTTGCTTCTTAAGATCCTCCTGCAATTGTGCCCCACGGCTCTTACCCGACAAAACCCTTTTATTCCCACCCCTCATAATCTCGCCCGACTCTTGCCGCTCGCGCTCCATCGCCAACCGTTCCTGTTGGGCAACCCGCTGCCGCTCTCGTCGTGCCGCTTCCTCTTGCTGTCGTTGCTCCGCTATCTCCAACTGTTTCTCGCGTTCTCTCTGAAGGCGTCGCTCCTCACACAAGCGTGCGTTTTCGTTTTGGATCTCTATAGCTTTTTGCCGCTCCCGATTCCGTGCAAGAAGTTCATCTTCTTTTGGCTGTGGATACGCAGTAATAAAACCCATTGCCGACTGTGACTTTGGGCGCTGGTCAATATTGTCCTTGTCAAATTGACTCCTAAGATTCGTATTGAAATCGTACTGGCGGTCACGTGATGACAAGACCGCTCGTGACGGGGAGTCTTTTAGCACAGGCGGAAGTAGCGGCGGCGACGCCGATGGCATAGGAGGAAGGGTCTGCTGCACGCCCGGCACTGCCTTGTAAGTGCCTGGTACAGATGGCAGCGCGGGAGCAAAAATCGCGGCATCAAGTGTTGAGGGAATATGCGGCGGGGGCCTATTCACTACTGTGGAACTATGCAACCAAGGCGTCGCGTGGAGTGGAGGAAGCGCGGAAGGGAAATTGAGAGGCTTTAAAAGCGGATCATTCCCGTGGTATTTGGCATTGCATTCCAGTGGCAATAAGTTCATAGATGGTACATTTGAGGCTACCCTCGGTGACACCTGTGGTCCCCTTTGTTGCATGGGTTGATGTGGCTGCGGTGACGGCGAATGCGACGGTGAATGCGACGGCGAATGCGACGGCTGCGAAGGCAACGCTTGCCAAGAAATGGGATTCACGTCGGGTCGCCGCTGCGGAAAACGGCGCGCCCTATTACCCTGCTGCACGACCACGTGTTGTTTGGTCCCTAATTCATACTTCTCATCGCTATGACCAATTTTACCTGCCACCTGTTGCCTCTTCTTGCGCTGCGCAAGGAGCATGTCGCCCTATTGCCTATTGTATACTCTGTTTGTAAAGAGCTGTGACCACGGGTGGTTTATCCCCGCCCTGGCTTTGGGCCCCTGTGGCCTCAAGGGAGCAGAATATTTACTGTACACCCTACAGGCACAGACAACCCCAAATACACATACACACCCGAAAGCCCAACATGAAAGGCCGTGGAAGAACAAAAAAATAAAAAATGAAAAATGAAAATTTTACAGTGATTACGTGCACATACAACAAACGCAAGAAAACACAAATAGAATGAAGATTGCTAAAGTTTTTTGGGTTTCTATTCCTTTGTTTTTTTTGTTTTGTTTTGTTTTCGTGTCTGTACATTCTGAAGGATCTTGGACCCCAAACAAGAAGAGAGGCGCACACAAACGGAATAAAAGTAACCCAAAAGAAGAGAAGAAACGCCCTTTCGTTCCTTCTCTCCCGCCTCGCACATCATCGTCCACCGCGAAGAGAACAGACGTGAGGAAAGGTGGAACAGTTGAATGGGGGGTAAACAACAACAATCAAAAAAAAAGCAGAAAAGCCAAGAAGCCACGCATTGAGAAAAAAGACAAGAGTTTCCCCCTTTAATTCCCCTCCAACCCTAAAGGGGTAAAGGCAACGCCACCATCTGCTCCAGCTGGTTACGCTTCTGTACACCTTCCTTCTTGATTGCCGTTATTTCGTCCGCATGCAACTTCTCTAATATCAACATCTGTTCCTCCCCATTCGAAGCAAGCTCGTCGCACTCTTTCCGTAGGACTTTTTCCTCCTCAGCTAATTCCTCTGTTCGCCGCTTCAGGGCCTCAATATCCTGCTGCACCCGACTTGTGTCCTTCTCGCCTTTGAGCGCCAACCGAAATGCGTGTCCGACGCGGGATTCAAATAATTCCCGATGCGCCGTCTGAGCGGCCGTGCGCTCGGTGTGAATCTTAAGCAGCAAAAGTCCTCGCTCCCAGCACTCGGCAGTCACTTGTCGAATCACCTCTAGAAAACACTCCGCCAACAGCAGGGAACGCAGTGGACAGATACCGGTGCGCTGGACACCAAGCTCTTGCATGCGACGGCGAAGCTTATCATGCGTCTCAACGGTTTCCGTGCGAGAAACTGGGTGTGGGCTGCCGTGCTGCACCCACAGCACCCCGGCCTCGTCATGCCACGCACGCGGTGTGATGAAAGAGTCAATCACGATACGAACGTTGGGGTCGACGGCGCGTTCGTCAAGAGGGAGTCCGAGGCGCCGGCGGAGTTTCAGCGACCGCTTTGGATCTGACGGCGCAAACGGGAGATCGTAACGAATGAGCGCCACTTCGGGGTCCACAGGGCCGTCTACAAAAATGTACTTGCGCTTCAAGGCATCCACCTCCCTCTTCGGCGTCATTCCTCTTCCTCCTCCCCCTGTCATTGTTGGTGTTGGTGTTGGTGTCCCCTCAACCGCCTGTTGCGACATGACTTCGATGGGTGTGCGTGCCGTCTTTCCTTCTTTTCCCCTCCCCCGTCGTTTTTCGTTGCTCTTCTCACCCACCTTCCCTTTATTCACTGGAATGCTGTACAAGTCTTTCCCCCCTCAACAACAACAAAAAAAAACAGGCTGCAAACATTAAAAAAAAAAAGAAGCCAGTTGCATCTCCAACACTGCAACGGCCAAATAGGAGCTCTCAACGTGCCGGCACACAACCACAGTCGCACATGCATGTACGGTAACGCACATAGAAAACAACAACATCTGAGCAACCCGTCACTCACACAAAGAAAGAGAGAAAGAGACGGACAGACTGAAGCCAACAGACTCACAAGAACCTCCGCCCAAACACAGAACACTTCCCTTGAAAGAAAAAAAGAGAAGTTAAGGCAATAAAACCGCCTCATAGACGTGTTTCCTTCTTAGAAACCACATCCTTCGGCCTTAGTAGTACACCAATTCCCGCATGCTTTGCGGCACATCCGTCGGGGGCTCCTCCGTGTTCAAGAAGTTGTAATCATCCACCGTCGTCGAGAGAATCTCTGCAGAGGCATCAAAGTACGATAACTCAAGAAATCGTTCGTAGTGGTGTACGTGAGAACGAACATTATACAACCGCGTAAAACGCTCGTATATTGTCTCTAATTTCTGAGCAATGGAAGTGTGATTGGCCAGCATCAGCACGGAATCCCGGTGTCCCAACGGACTCACACTACAGAGAGCCGTCTTGAATCCGTCCTCGTTCCAGTACACCAACTTTTGTCTTTCACGAATACGTGGAATATTACGGGCCAAGTCACCAACTGTGATCTGCGGACCGCGGGCAATGAGAGCCGTGGCCAAGCAGGTGCCAGCATCCTTCGTAAGCGCGGATTTCGTGCCCCCAGAGACATCAACATACTGGTGGTCCTTCTCCAAGCAGGAAGCAAGCAACGTATCAATAGAACGCGGGCCGGCAGCTACCGAATATCGCGCGACATTGAGTGGAGCAATAGCAGCTGTCAAAAATAAGAGGCGTGGATAAGGGACAAGATTCGTCGTAATCTCATTGATGTCCATGTTCAAGGGACCAGGAAACCGCATCGCGCAGGTCAAGTTACTCAGCAGCTGTGCCACAACTGCGTTCATCGAGTCATACGGCAACTTTGTCTTGGTCGGTTCGGCCACACTGTAGGTGTGGACATCCGGCACTCCCCCGCGTAATATTTCCCCGTCTGCATTGTGCATGGACTTTCGCCCAAGTGCGCTGTCTGCCATGCGGGAAAGTGCATCATTGTCCAATGGCACCACCGCATCTGCGTGCTCAATGAGTTCCCGGACTGCGAAGGCGGTGTTGTATGGTGCCGTCACCACATCATCCACAGCTCCCGGCATCACTACAGGGCAGATGCGAAAAATGTGTGGAAATTCCTCCTCCAACATCCCCAACACACGCGTGCCTAGACCGGAACCGGTGCCACCGCTCAGTGAGTGCATCACAAAGAAAGACTGAATACTGTCACAGCACTCAACCTGTCCCCGGACAGAGTCTGAGATGCTATCAATGTACTTGTCGCCGTACTCCATGTGTCCCACTGCCCAGTTGTTGCCCGCCCCGCTAACATCGGAGACAAAAAAGGTCGCATCAAAGAGGCCTTGCAAAGGCCCACGTAACATGGAGCGCAGTACGCCCTCCTCCATGTCAATCGCAACGCAACGTGCCTTTAATGTCACGCTTCCATCCTTGCCAACAGGCTCAGAAATGAAAAGCGCATCGCGGGCGTCAGGGTACTGCGGGTTGGCCTTTTGTTCCTGCATCATGACATCCCACCACTTGAGGCCGAGCTGGTTGCCGCACTGGCCGACCTGAATAGAGACTATCTCGCGCGGCATCGGCCTCCCCACACACACACCGGCAAATTGGAAAAAAAAAAAAAAAACTAAACACCACCACTCCTCGATCTCTCTCTCTCTTGCTGTCTCTCTCCCTCTATTTGTGTGTATGTGTCGTTGCTTTTGTCTTCCCTTTGGGGTTTGTTGGCGCTCTATATTACGATACAACACACTCTCGCCTTGGAGGTAATATAATGTTAACAACGACAAAAACGTTTACAAATCCAAACAAAGAAAATAAGAAACAAAAAAAAAATAATGCACATAATCACACACCATTCTTCGTCGGACAGAGATTACAAAAGAGCAAAAAGAAAAGAAAAAAAACGTTCATAAAAAAAAAAGGGTAATGCATCCATAAATGCAATCCTATGGATGACGTGCAATGAGGAATATATAACATATAACTCTGCGCATGGGCACACCGCATCCCTGTGCGTGTGTGTGTGTGTTTGTGCATCTTTGCTCTAAGATCTATATTTTATTTCCCACGTCAAAGTAAATCATCCTCTAACGTCTTCAGTTGCCGCCTCACTATCTCCACGTACTCCCGAAGTCGTGCCTCCTTCTTTTGAACCCTCTCTTGGGTTGCGTCAAATCGTTTAAGCAATGCAGTCAATGCAAGTCGCTTCTTGCCCGCACTCGTGGAGCTGCTGCTGTTTTCTCCATCACTGTGGCGCTGAATGGCTGCCACCACCTGTTTCCGCTTTAGCTGCAGCTGCTCCTCCTGATTAAGAACACTGGCGTGTTGCGTCTGCAGCAAATCAAGCTGATCCCGAAGCTCCCGCATGAGCGCCTCACGTGCAGTCGGTGGACGCGGTTTGGCTGAGCGCTGTGCCCCCGGCGATGGTGTTGATTTCCCCTTCACATTTTTCTGCCGTGACTGCCGTACCGCCGGGGGTAATGAGGGTGATGATAATGATGCGTTTGTCTTGCGTTGGGTTGCACTCACAATATTTGTTTCACTTTGCTCCAGTTGACGAGGAGGGAGCCGTTGCGCTCTTTTCTTCGCCGAGGAATAGCTGACGGAAGAACACGGGGAAATGGAGCATCGCCTTGGTGGAGGCGGCTCCTCCTCGTCCGCGGATGCCACGGCGTAAGAAGCGGCAGCACCACTCCCCTGACGCACGTTGTCGCCGGAAATGGTGGATGCGCAGCCCGACCACGAAGAGTCGGAGGTGGAGGCAAACGTCATTTTGTCGGTAGCTGACGGGAAAAATAAATCGCGATGGCCGTTCCGTGCGGAGCCAACCGACTTCAAAAGGCTACGCGCACTCGCAAGAATACGGTCGACTTCCGCGGTGGATAGCCGCGCATTCCCCGCCCCATCGCCACGGACGCCGCTCCTCACGCACGCAAAAGGTTCCGCCTGCGGTGAGTGATACTCCGGCGAAAGGCGCCTGTCGATCCGGACCGCCCCAGACGACGGCGAAAAGGAGATCGCAGAAGGCGGAGGTGTTGTGGGTGCGGCGCCGCCACCTCCCACCATCACGCGCTCTTCTGTCAGTGGCGAAACCACCACAATCGGTTCCTCGTACGCATCAAAAGAAGGATTTGCCTGCGGCAGCGTACCTTCCTCGGTGCGCTTCCCAAGCTTCGAAAGCAAACGATTTCGCTTCTCCTGCAGGGAAGCAGAAGTTTGCAACGTTGTCACACCAACCTTCAAAGACGGAGACAAAGTTCGACTCCGACCTCGTTTAGGCGATAAGGAGTCGTCTGCCTCGTCACGAGAAACAAGACCGTCCGTCCCCCTGTTGGTTTTTTCATTCTTGGCATTGCTGCTAAGGTGATGGCTTGAAGATGTACTCAACAGTGGCCTCTCATCACGCTTCACAGAAGTGAATGCCGTGTCTCTCAGCATTAACGCCCCCTCAGACTTCAAGAGTCGCTTCTTTAAAAAAAGAATATCATCCTCAAGCCGCTCACAACGCACCTTTGCCTCCCGCCCCCTCTCCTTCCATACATGATTCTCCTCCTTGAGCTCTCTCGCCTCCCGTTTCCACCGTTGCTTCTCCTCTTTCATCTCATTTAAGGCGTCACGCAGACGTTGGTTTTCTTCCATATGTGCAGCCAACCTCTCTTTGAGCACCGTGAGCTCAGTAAAGTCATCGCTTCGCCCCGTGTTTGCTGCTTCCTCGATCCGACCCCCACTTCCTCTCTGACATGTGGATGTCGAGGCGGTACGTGTCGGTGGCGGTGGTGTCGATGACTGCTCCTCAGCAGAATCCCCACGGGTCAAAGAACATCGACTACGACAAGAACAGTTGCTATTGTTACTGCCGCTTCTTACGCTGTGAGGGCCATTGCTCCCTAAACGCTCAACAAGCAAAGGCACAGCGCCAAGAAAACGCTCTTGCATACCAAGAATCATACTGTCCTTTGCTTCCAGCAAACGCACTAGCCGCGCGTTCTCCGCGGCGATATCGGCTGTGGGTTCCTTCTGTCGTCGCCCATGAACTGGTGCATGGTCCCTATTTTCTCCCCCGCTCATGGACGGTAAGAAATTCGATGCGGATTGCGGTTGTGGCATTTCTTCGGCGATTGATTCCCCCTCACCTTTTTCATTTTTCTGCCGCAGCCAACAGTTTGCATCCAACGAAGCCTGCAGCGTCTCTTCCGTCTGCTTCCCAATACACCTTGCCAAGGGCGGTGGTGGTGAAGCGCTCACCGCTCTCATTCCCCCTGTGCAAAGCGACGGCGAACGTTGATTGCCGCTCTCGGGTGAAATGTCAAAATCCCACGACGGCCGCAGACTACTAGACGACGCACAATCTTCTTGACGCGGTGGTGACTCTTCCGTCTTCTCCCTGCGACCCCTGCAATCCCTGCATGTAGGTTCATTGGGTGAAACATCACACCCAAACAACTTGGGCAATGGCGAGCCGTCAACATCGGGCAGTCCATTGCTGTTGCCGCTGCGGCACTCTTGCACGTGACCAGCGTGAATTGGTCGCAGCAACTTCCGCCCGTCAGTTTCACCTGTTGGCGACCGCACGGACTCCTCGCGTGGGGTCGAACATGAGGGATGCAAAGTACTCAGCGGTGAAACAGAGACAGACACGCGGTTATTTGCAGAATCCTCCCTTTTAAACACGCAGAGAGCTTCTCCCTTTCCTCTGCTCGTCGCCACAGGCAGGACGCCTAAGGACAACGCGGACGTTGGGGCCACGGAATCATAAATCTCTCTTAGGGCCATCGCCAGACAGAGAACAATGTGCTGTTTACTAGCCATCACGTCCTCCAGCTGCTCCAAAAACCGTAAAACCGCATCATGTGGACCCCGCTCGCGGGTTCCATGCGTTCCATCCCCATCGTTTGTTTCTATAACAGCGGGGTAGTAGTAAAGACTGCCACTTTTGGCGGCAGTGGCTGCAAATAACTCGGACAACTGCATGCCCAGCGACTGCATCGCCTCTTCCTGCAGTTGAGCAAGACCCATGAACTGCTCCCGCAGAGACGCCACCCGATTGCAGGGCTCCCATAAAGCCTCAGAAACTCCGCCTGTCTCACTGGCAGTCGCAGACCTTTCCGACTCTTGTCTAAGGCAAGACTGAAATGGCAGCAGGGCACTATCAATGGATTCAGACAGCTTTGGGTTGAGTCCGGAATGTTTCAGCTCAAGAATACGTAGCCGCAAAACCTCGCGGTCCACATCGTCCAACGCAACAACAGGCGTATGAAGCGGTCCACCTCCACGTCTGGGTGTCGGAAATAGACGTTCGCGAAGTGTTGTGAGCATCGTCACACTCTCGGATTGAGTTCTCTGCGCCCGCACCAAAAGATCCAAACAGCGACGCAGCGCAAAAGACCCAACAGTGCCGTCAACAGCACCCGAAGAAGAAGAAGAAGAAGAGGACGAAGCAGAGGCCCACGCCGTCGTCGGTGCCTCCCTCTGGTACAGTGATCGACGGCTTTCGACATGACTGTTAAGATGGCGCTCGACCAGCGAGGGTGTGTTGAGCCCCCGCCACTCTGAATTACCCAGCGGCGAGGAGAAGTACGCGGTGTGTGCCAGGCTCTGCATCTTCCTCCCTCTCCACTCCTCAGCCGTCCGCGTCTTCCACAGGCACAATAACTCCCGTGAGTTGCTTCAAAGAAATACACACAAGGCGTTGCAGTGAACGCCGCGGCCACGCCGCTCTATCACCGCTCTCCACACAAAAAAGAAGAAAATCAATAAAAAAGAAAAAAATAATAAAGTTTCTTCGCGTCCTTTTGTGTGTATGTACACGTTTGTAAAAAAATAAGGAACGAATACATGGGCAGATCCAAAAAAAAAAAAAAAAAAGATAATAGGACACACAAGAGAATTATCGTTTGCCGCACCACCAGAAAACATGCGTATCGCATAAAAAAAAAAAAAAAAAAAAATCAAAAAAGATGAAAAATGTTCGGCCTCACTGAAATGCGGTGAGGATCACATTTATGGTTCTGATGGCCCATGTAAAATAAATATTGTCAGCTGGGAGAAATATAAAAAGAAAAGGGATTATTTCTTAACGCCCTACCAATTTTTCCACTCCCAAATCCAACATTCTCACGCTCCTTGTTGTCCCCCGCCCCCCCCCCCCCCCCCCCCCCCTTTTTTTTTTTCGTGCACCCACCCAGACCAAAGATTTCTTGTAGCAATCCACTCTATCCTTTACCCCTTTCCCTCCACTAATGGCTGCAGCCTATAAACCCCCGATACAGTGTACACATGAAAACAACACCCCTATTTTTACACTTCCCTAATTCCCTTCCTCAATATACATGGATAAAAAGAGTCAGTTTGTATAGATATATATATATATATATATATATATATATATGTTTTGTTCGCATGATTATTGTGCTTGACTCACTCTTTCCTGTAGTTCCCTAACTTCAGCCAGCAACTTCTCTGCGCGCAGGGCATCACGTTGATGGGCATACCAGTAGTTGTACTCTTGATCCACATGACCCATACGCAGTGCCTCACCTTGTAGTGTGGCAGACAAACGATGGCTGCTCTCATCTTCCTGCATACTAGACAAATTTTGCAACGCCTGACGGCGATGCATACGTTCTATTTCGTTGTAGTAGAGTACTGCCTTTCTTCTCAGTTCAACATGAGGACCGTCCCTTTGCCGTTCAAAGTACTCTGATATTTTGTATCGAAGTGGAAACACTGCAGTCGTGCCCACAAACACCAAGAGCGCACCGTATGAATGCGGTGCATAACTCATAAAGCCTACTGGTGTGTACCACGGCCGCTTCGCATAGCGCACCATTTTGCCAAGAATATCGCTAATGCACGGTTTGTGTGTTTGTGTTTAAATGTATACTGCCCCGCTGTATATATATATGTATGTATTTAAGCCTGTGGGTGTCTGTTATGTCTCTTCTGGAGTTGGCGGTCTCTTGGCCACTCCCCACTCCACTCGGCCCCCACCCTTCTACGTCTTCCACCGCAACTCGACAATAATAAATTTATTTTTATTTTATTTTTTTTCTTTTGGCAAAAAAAGAGAACCACAAGAAAACGCATAAAAGCAAGAAAGCACCACGAACTAAAGCAAAAAATAAATAAATAAATAAAATAAAATAAAATAAAAATAAATGATCTTTGTTTCCTTCGGCCCATCTATCTCTCCCTCTCCCATTCCTCCTCTCTATCAATCTCCATCAAAATAACAACAAAAACAACAACAAGTAAACAACAACAACCAAAAAAAAAAAAGAGGAACACGCGTCCTTCAAGCTGCATCACTCGCAGTAATACGGGGCAAAACAGGTAAGACACGGCATCACAAGAAAAGAAAAAAAAAAACCAGAAAAAAGGGAGTATGACGGTGCTTCAGTTCCCAGTGAACAAATATCTACATCGAAAAGTTTGGTGAATCCGCCACGCCGCACCATGGGCACTGTTTGCCTAAAACAACGTAGCGATTCCAATCCTCCGGGTTTGCTGGTCGCTGGCAGTTACGACATCGTGTCAGCCCCCCGCCAATAATTGGGTAGCCAGTCACAGCACACTCAGGAAATTTTTCTCCCGCAGGAGACCGCAGTGCACCCTCAAACATCTCCACATGATTTTGTGGGTCCATTGTTGTTGGCAAGTGCGGGTCAAAACTACTCTCAATGGAAATGGTCAACACCCACTTGTTGACTTCCTCCTCTGCCGCCACATCCACACTCGACGATTTCGGCAGTAAGTATTTCTTGGGGAAGTCTGTGCAGTCAAATTTGCTGTCATCGATGCTCGAGCTGTCGGTGGCACCCTCCGCTATCTTCTCCGTGATGTCAAGAAAGTGGTTTAGGTAAAGAAACGCAATGGCATCTGATCCAGCATTCTTTGCAGCCATGCCGGCATCAAAAAAAGCCTTTTCTGGTGCGATATACGGAATCCATCGAGGGAGGCCAAGGAGAAGCTTCATTGCGTAATCGCCCAAAGAGAGATCCAACATACGTGGGGCCATGTAATAAGCGTGAATGATATGTGCCAGTGCATTTGCCCTTTCGACATCCTCTGGTTTTTGTCCAGATGTGGCCATGCTCTCTGAGACATTGATAAGGCTTCTGTGGAAGCCATCTAACTTCAAATTGCTTTCAGCCTTCAGTGGCATCATGGAAACGAGTTTCTCGGCCATATCCAACCATGTGTCATAGAAGCGAAAGTCGCCTGTATCAAGTGGTAACTCCTCCACCACGTCAAGAGCGTTTGCTAGTTCATCTTTGTTAAGATGGTACTTCATCTGCAACCCTGCCACGTATTTCATTTTTTCCGGAGTCAATTGCTTCGCTATACGGATGGCATTCTCCCAGTCGTTGTTGGCAATGTAAGCCTTGAGTGCAAACTCTGGATCAATTTCCTCAACCACCTTGGCGTCTTTCATTCCACCATTTTCAATGCTGTCCTGCACAATGGCCCGCTTCACGTAGTCTTCCAACTCAGGGCTGATGCGCTTGGCCAGATATTCCGCGAGGTCAAACTTCTTGCCCTGTACATACATGTTGATTGCACCCTTGTAGTCTTCGCAGTCCTCTAGGCATTTACCCGCTTCAACATATCGCTTGGCATCTTTTAACTTCTCCGTGGCAATGCGAAGGACTCCCTTAAGCATATTACGATCATGCTTCTGAGCCACCTTCACCGCACGCACCCAGAGACTGGCCAAAACGTTAGGATTAGGCACCCGCTCCGGTGTGGCGCCGATGTATGTATCCACGGCCAGCTGATACTCACCATGTTCCTCCAACACTGCACCTGCCTCTTTCGGGTCATTTGACTGAAGTGCAATGCGCTTTGCAATCTCGCCAAGCATCTCAGGACAATGTTCTTTTGCCAGTCGTTGAGCCTCTGTGTAGAGACGGCTATCCATGTACATTTTCAGCAATGGCTCTGGGGTGTTAGCACGGAGAAACAAAGCCTCCGCTTCGCGATGATTGCCCTTCTGGAAGAGTTCCCGTCCATTTGCCTGAAGAATAGAAGAGATAGCCGTCTGATCATATCCCTCTGCAACACGCATGGCGTTTTCAAACTCTTGTTGATGCAGATACATATCAATCGCCTCACGTGGTTTACCAGACTTTAAAAAGGCATCTTCTGCCATGCGGAAGTCCCCTTGATCCTCATAGTACATGGCGTACTTGAGGTACACATAAGGGAGTTTAGCGGGCTGTGCAAGCTGTGACCATTGCAAAGCCAAATCAAATTTCTGTGCCTCCAACGCGGCATCAATGCCAGCATCCACAAGAGAAAACTTCATCAGTAGCCGCACACCGTCCTCGGCTTCTACCACCATGGCGTTGGAAAGGACCACTTGCTTCGCAGCATTCGCTCCACCGTGCACCTTGGCAACACGTACGGCATCCTCCCACAATTCACGGTCGCGGTACATATTGACCGCCCGTCCCCAGTCTTTTCCAGCCACGTAATGTGTCTCTGCCATTTTAAAGTTCTTCTCCTTCTCAAACTGAGCCGCCAGGGAAAGATGTGTTTTGAGCAAATAATCCGGGCGATAGGCCTGAACAAGACGAATCATATTTGTATAGTCACGACTCTTTTTGTACATGACAATTGCCTGGTCCGGCTCATTCACTTTAAGGTAAATGCGTTCTGCTCCGGCGTAGTCACCCTTTGTTTCCAGCTGCTTTGCCTGATCCACAAACAGTGCAACAAGCTGCTGTTGTGAGAGATGACGTTGCGCCACACGATACATGTGATCGGACATCCCCGCTCGACTGTACATCTCGACAGCCTCATTGACGGAACCAGCCTTGATGTAGAACTTCTCCGCATCCCCATACTGATGTAGCTCCTCGTAATGGTGAGCGATGTTTTTGTAAAAGCCCTTCACCGTCTTGTCATTATCGGCGCCCACTGCCTGGCCCTCAAGAATGTGTGCTGCCTTGCTCCATTGACGGGAGTCAATCGCAGCCTTCACGGCCTTGCCGTATTTGTTTGCCTCAATGTAGTGATTAATCGCCTGATCCACGTGTTTCTGCCCAACAAGGTAGTCACCCCATGCCTCTTCCAGCGCCGCTACCTGATCCGGATGAGCCCGTTTTGCAAACTCCACTGCACGGCTGTACACATGACCCTTTTTGTACGCCTCAATGGCGCGATCATCCATCTTGAGTTTCTCAAAGAAATCACCAGCCTTTTCAAACACTTGTGCCTTAAAAAGTGCGGCCGCAATGGCCTCAAGAAGTTGTGGTTCGGGCCTCAATTCATTGGCCGAAACGACATTTGCCGCCCGTGAGGGAGTGCCGCCACGCAAATACAAATTGATGGCATCAATTAATTTGCCATCCCGTTCCTTTTGTTCGCCGGCCTTCTCAAACTGGCCTGTTTCCATCAACCAATTGTAGTATTGTGCACGCTTATTTGCCAACTCCGGCCAACCACGTGCCTCAGCGACATTGATGCTTTCATCAAAGCGATTCATTTCCTCCCACATGGCCATCACCTCTTCAATTTTACCGTTTTCAAGGAATACCTGCTCAGCCCGCTTATACTCCTTGTTCAACATAAAAAGTTCAGCCCGCACGGTGTAGTGGTCGTAACCATCTGTAAGGCCATCACTGGCCTTTGCTGCTGCCGCCGCAAGTTCATTGATATGATTCAATGCGTTCACCTTTGCAACGTCGCCAAGGGCCGCGTAGCAACGCTGGGCTATTTGTAGTTTCATCTCCCTTAGTGCCACGGTGGCCAAATTTGCCCACATAGCCTCCGTCTCAGGAGTGAGAGCAATCTGATCAAGCAGATCACATGCCCTGTTATAGTCATGGTCCTTCATGGTTGTGCCAAACTCAATAAGAGCTTCGTCCAGACCGTAAGCAACGGTGTTAATGCCCTCGTCCACAATGACTTCCGTCTTACCGTTGCCACGCTCAATACCCTCCACTTCACCTTTAATCGGCACAACGGCAACACGGTCAGGGGCATCAATGCTATACCACACACAAAGTTCAACGCGGTTCTGTGCCACCACCACATCACTACCAGGAACCCACTGCACATATGTACAGTAATTCAACAATGTGGTGCGGGTTTGCTCCTCTACGTCATATAGAAACAATTGATGTTGCTTGTCACGAAAGAGTAACTTGTTGGCGCGATAATTGAGTTCAAGCCAATCAATCCGGCATTGGTGGGTAACGCGTGCGACGGTTATCCCACTTCCAAGATCGTCAATTTGAATTGTTTGTCGATCAATAAGATAAGCGATAAATTTACGTGCCTGTTGCTCACCTCCTCCGCCATTATCGTTGGGCTCATGTACGCGGACAGAGATGCGATGGGCGTTGCGCTCCTCCGTGCGGCAGGTGCCCAGAAGTTCTTTCTTGCCATACTCAATCAGACAAAGCTCCCCTGCCGCAAATACCATGCAAACCTGCGGGTTTTCAAACACAAACTTCTCACGACCTGACAATCGCCATGGCACCTCCGACAACTTACACGAGATCAGGTCACCAACAAGAAGAGTCGTGGATGTGTAGGCCACCAGGTAACGGTCATGATAGACATTGACACGTTGGACCTCATAGCCCAGATTCGAGCGCAGCACAATACGGGTTCCTGTCGCCAGTCGCTTCACAATAACTTGATTATGACTGACGTATGTAAACTCAAACGCACCACGAAGGCGGTACCGCTTCAGGCAGGCATCAAACATGTCTACCGCTCCTGTCAATGTTCCTGTCACGATGCGACTTCCATCATACTTCCACGCCATGGCGGAAAAGCTGTAAGAATTGGGAAGGTTTATTACAATTCCCTCTTCCCATTTGCGGGAGCGCAGGTTGTAGTCAAAAAGACGAAACTTCTCCCGGCACGCAAGAGCAATCGTCTGCCCACTGGGATTAAAGCACCCCACCGTGAATTCCCCTTCTTCCTCCACCTTGTAATCAATGTTCTGAACCTTCTGGCCATTGCGGTCGTAGAAAGTGACATGCCCATTTTGTCCCGCTGCACAAATGTGTTCCCCCCAAAGCAAAACATACGGGGCGCAAGAGTGATGAAAAATCTTCTTTGATCCAGCCACCTCGTTTGCCTCCTCGGAATCAAACGTGTACTGATAGACAGAGCCATCCAAGTGACCACAGATGACTTTCTGCCCATCGGCGTAATTTGCCACGGACACCACGGCGTGATCATGTGCGTAGAGTGACTGCGACTTATTTGATTTCAAAATCCCAACCTTCACCTTCCCTTCCAAAGTCCCAAAGACAACAAGCTCCACTCCCTGCGTCGTGTTCGGCCAACACACGCAGGTGACCCCATTGCTCTGTGGAAATTTGCTGCAAATGGCCTTCTTTTCCCCCCACTCAAGTCCAATCCGGTAGATGGCCACCATCCCATCGGACTGCGCCACCGCAATCCGGCTGCTGTCCGGAGAAAACACCATCCCGCGTATCACAAACGACTTTCCAGCCGAGTTATCTGCCGCCTTCGTGGGAAACTTGTCGCGCCGCTCGCCAAACTCGTCGTACAGGTTTACAAAACGATTGTTGTCGGCAACTGCCAGGCGTTTGTTATTTGGCGACCAGCAGATAGCCTGCACGCGGGCAAATCCTGGCTGAGAAGCCAGCAGCGTTTTGTAGTGCTTCACTTGCATTTCAAATAAAAGATACCAATCACGCAGCCCGCCTTTATCTGCCACTTGTTCTCCTTCTTTTGTCCCTGTGTGCGCACGTAATCTGCGGCGCCAGCTTCTAAGGATGTTGTCGTTTTTTGTTCTGTTTTTTGTTTTTTTTCACTCCCTGCTTTTTTGATGCGTGTTCCTCCTCCACACAGATACACACACACACTTTTTTTTCTTTTTGTTCTTTCTTTCTTTCTCTCTCTCTCTCCCCTTAAAGCAAAGAGGTCCCCTCTAAAATTCTACCGCACGCGCAATAATTATCCCCTCCTATTCTGCAGAGAAAACGATACTTATTCATGTGAAGATGATCAAATAAATCAAATAAATCAAATAAATAATTTAAAAAAAAAAAAAAGAGAGAGGGAATTTATTGCAAGAGGACGATGTGCACATCGATCAAGTTAAAGCAGTTATTACCATCACACATGCATGCAGCACGCATGTATCCTCGCCAATAAAGTCGTCTAAAAGAGGAATTGTCGCGAGCAAGCCATGCCATCAGAGAATGAGGGAACCATCCTCCTCATCCTCAGCAAATTGGACCTCTGACCTCTCCGCTGGCACGCCAGTCATGTCTGCTGAAACGTGCTCGAGGTGCAATGACTGTAACAACGTAAGACGTAACCGACGGAGTGGCACCTCGTCATCACAATTTGACACATCAAACACACCTGCACCACTTGTCCCAACGAGAGCGGTAAAAAAATTCCGATTAACACAACTCCTTCGCACAGCAAATATAAGCGCCTCTGCATCCGTAGCCTTACGACGTGTTACCGCATTGTACAGCACCAAATTATCCCGTTGCGTTGCTGCATCCACGTTACTCCCGTCATTTACATCGGAAGCCTTCCCATCTTCACCACGTTTCCCCCTTTTCGGCATTTTCCTTCGCGCCACAGCAGAGCATAGCTGAGGAAATGGTTTGCTCACATCTGTCGGCTTCTTAAAGAGTGCCTCAATCCAGCGAATATCCCGCATCTCATTGTCAGGCACAGACATAAAAAGAGTGGAAAGTAGCCGCTGCGACCACCACTCACGACCGTAATGAAGCAGTAACTCGTCGCCCTCCTTCAGGTCAATGATGGGCATGAGTGTCAAAAGGCGTGTATTATCATCTACATTCAGCCTCACATTGGCCTTGTGTGTTAATACCTGAAAAAGTCGTTGTTGTTGCACGTGCCTTTCCTGTTCCGTGTAGCCAGAGACATTTTGAATGCCTTCTGTGTTAAGCGGTGACGCAATGAACTCTACCTGCTCTGCGCTTATGCTGGTGTCTTCGTATAACTGCATACGCGCCGTGTGATGCTTCCAGTACGCAGGATTGCCGAGATCGTTCTGCGGAGGTGTTTCCCACAGAACCCCATCATTGATCTCAAACAGGTGACCTTCAGGTATAACAATCCGCGACTCACTCAGCAGTGACGCTCGAGACACCGTCTCCCCGAAACTGACAGAAGAGGATGCTGTTGCAGAGGGACCAGCATGTACCTCCTCCTCCTCATTCTCTTCATTCTCTCCCTCCATGTTGGTATCGTTATCGCCCTGTACAGCGGTAGAAGAATTCCTCTTGCCACCATCACATGAATCCATTAACGTTGTTCGGCTTTTTTTGGCAGTTGAGCCATGCGTCGCCGTCACCACCTCGTCTGTCTTCCTTCTTCGCACGGCGGCTTTCTGTTCATAGCGATGGTGGTGCCGCTCCCGCCACGCCCGCAGTCCCGCGGGGTCTGCAAGTGGGGCGTGGCTGCCAGGCACAATCAAGTACCACCCGCCCAATGTGGCCACGTTGAAGTACATGCCGCTACTAAACTGATGCCGCAGCGCTAAAAAGTGTCGAAGCGAAATCTTGTGGGGCGGCATGCGAAGAAGATTCACCAAATACGGCGGTGCAATGGCGTCAGGCGGCGGCGCAACTTCCACCGGTGTAAACTTCTTCAGTGGACGTGTAATGAAGACCCCCTTGGCGCCAGGCACAAGCCTACTCGGTGCCACTCGTGTCAACAATGACATGTACTTTCCCCTCTGTTTATTCCTTTTTTTTTTCTCTCTCTCTTTCCCCCTCCCCCACACCCTTTTGTTGTTGTTGTTGTCTCATGCACCGACGGACGGGAGGAAAAAAAAGAAAAAAAGAAGAGAAGTGAAAACCCTCCCAGAATAAACAATAGAAAGGGATGCCTCGTGCCAAGTTACATTTTGGTCCCCGTCTCAGTCCGGTGCTTCAATGTTTTGTTTGGCTCAAATTTTCCTCACCACTTTCTCTGGTCGCTTCATTCCGCTCCTCCGCTCTCAAACGTTTCGCTAAAACGTCCGTCCCGCCCCTCCGAGTCCGTTGCCGTCGGCGAGAAGGACACACACACACACACACACACTCTCTCTCTCTCTCTCACACACGCACCAAAAAAGAAAAATAAAAGAACCTCAATGAATCATACCTCTTATTTTCCAGTGCCTTTTCTTCCCCCCCCCCCCCCCCCCCCCTCTCCCTGCCTCCGTCGCCACACACACACACACAAAAAGAGAGGGAGAGGGACAAAAACAATAAAAAACAAACAGAAGAAAAGCGGCCAAACTCACCCCACTTTGCCAACCACGCAAAGAAGAAAAAAAAAAAAAGAAAAAATCTGTAGTACAAAAAAAAAAGCATTCATCAAAGAACATCTATCATTTGCTGCCGCTCCAATAAATGAAAGAACAAAAGTAAAAAAAAAAAAAAAAACTAGCCGCAATGAAGCTACATCAACGCGCCTGTAAATCTACACGACGTGCCAGCTCTCTAGTTGAAGTGAAAAAAAAAAGAAAAAAAATGGAACATATATATATATATATATATATATATATTTATATCATCTAATTGGCACGCTATCCGGAGCTCCCTCATCATTATCAGTATCGTAATAATATTCCTCCTCTTTTGAATTCATCAACCGTTTCTTTTTTGACCCTTCCTTGTGGAAACAGTGCCACAATTAGGAGTCGGTGGTTGTGAGCTGGGTGGAGAAAAGACAATTTGTTTTGCAAACAAATTGGCCAGCATTAACGGTGGTCGTGAGCCCCGCCGTGTCATTTTCCCTCGAATTTGCCGTCGCTGGTACAAAGGTGTCGGCGCATCATCCGCCTGTTGCATCGGTCGCTCCTCAGCGCACCCCACCTTTTTTGAGTCCTCCACTTTCACTGGGTTGATTTGCCCAGGAGCAAGTGTGCCTCTTTCACTCGCGCTGCGTGACGCCAAAAGCGCCGCACTCTTCAAGGACGTGGATCGATACCCGGAGCCATTGCCTACCCCACGCACTTGACCAAAGCGTAGCCTGTAAAGACGCTCAAATGTCTCCTGCCTTGCTCGACGCTGCAGGGGTTGGCCAAGCCCACCCATCTTATACATGCCAGGTAACAATGGGCCTGTAACGTCTGGCGGTCGAGCCCTGTAACGAGTGTAACGATGCCGTCGATGGGCGCGTGCTCCGGCATCACGACTAACATTTCCACCAACTTCCTCCTCTTCCTCCTCCTCCTCCTCTCCAAGGCTAGCATCATCAAATATGGCTCTTTGAACGTAATCAATACGTGCAAAACACTCGTAACGATTAATGGGAATGGCATTCTTTCGAAGTTCATCTATAAGCCTACGGGCCTTGGATCTTGCAACAATAGAGGCAGATATTTCGTCAAGTGGCCTTGGTTCCATGTATCGTGGCTGCCCATTCTTCCCATTTGCACCCCGCAGCGTCGAAGAGGAACGCGAGCCCACAGAATAAGAAACCAAGGGGGATTTTTTCTTAATACCTGCCCCATCCATGCCAGTGAAACAACCCTCACCACCACCACCACCCATTCCGATTATACATGCGCTCGAAGAGGAGAAAGGCAATAAACGGGCCTGTGGACGTTGCGGGTTATTCGAGGCTGGGGGTGGCAATGGTGGAGGAATCCCAAACTCCTTCCCGTTTTGAGACATTGGCTCATTAGAAGTTGAAAAAAGTCCACGAGAACCTCCTAATGCCTTCAATACGTTCTGAACCGTCGAGGGACTGCAAAGGTGATCTACCACCTCTTTGCCAAAAAGCCGCTGTAGTGGCACAGGTGCCAGTGAAGCAAGAACCATGCATACTGTGGGAGGAGAAGAATTCGCTGCCTTGTCATTCCATACTTTTCCACCTGTAAGGTCAAGAAACTCATCATTTAAAAGATCCAGAAAATTTGACATTTTCATGCATAAATCATCTGTTTCATAACTTGTTGAATGCGAATTTTGCAGGCACCAATCGGCTATTTTAGATGTCGCATCCCATACGATGGGTTTTGGAGGTAATATATTTCGTCGGAGATATGTTACGCGTCTAAAATCTTCAGGTAACAATTCTATTCCTCTATCTTTTCGATCTAATGCACCACAATGAATAAACAACTTCAACAAGGCAATATCTGTCGCCTCACTTCCGGTAATCCACTTTTTCTCAAATACTTCACCAGGATGTTCCCTGGTCTCATTCAAAACGTAGTTGTTGATACTGACATTGTTTTTATTTTCATCTTTACGCTCAGGTAAAACCTCTCGATTCCTCTGTGATGAAACTGTATCCTTCCTCTGCATCGCTTTGACGCTCTTCGGCTGTTCATCATTTCTTGGCTTTGACGCAAGAACCTCATTGGATTGCGCCGTGCCCTCGGTAGCATCTTCCCGTACCCGGAGTAGTTTCTCTACAAGAGCCACCCATTGCTCAGGTAAAATGGAAGACTCGGTGTGTGTATTTTCCTTAAAAAGCACCTGCAGTGCTGCATCATTCAGTGAGGAATTTATACCTATTTTTTTTAAAAGCCGTATGACATTATCCCGTCGGATACCATTTTCCTTGACAAACATATCGTGTAGTTTCTCTCGGTTTATTTTCTCCAGCTTCCATTGTCCCGACTGTTCCATCCTTGCAAAGGAATCATCATGAGCCCCTGCTTCCTCCACGGCATATATTGGGCGACCTCCGGTATTCACGGAGACTGGCGGCACCGTAGAACCCACGGAGGATACCGAAACACCTTGACACGTCCCAGCAGAGTTGGATTCCTGTGATACATTTGAGCCTTGCCTTCCTGCCACAAGATCGGCCAGTGTGGGTCTTCTAAAAAATGGTTTTGCGTCGCGACTCATTGAATATCCCCGATATAATTCTAGCACAGTTGTCCAGTCGCTTCTTTAACGATATGGGCAGCCTTCTTTTTTTTTTTTTTTCTTCCTTTTTTTCTTTTTCTTTTTCTTAAGCAGCCCAGGCGCAGAAGTCTTTAAAAAAAAGGGGGGGGAAAACAATCCGTGGCTGCCTCACACACCACGCCTACAAGCAGGTCCAACAACAAACAATAATAAATAAATAAAATAAAATAAAATAAAAGAAGACTATGAACATGATCGTGTCCCACAGCATGGAGTAGGAAGAGAGAATGTACATGTGTGTGTGTGTGTGTGTATATGGGAAGATACGGGACAAAATAAGGACACAATTACTTTACAGATTGTGGCCCCTTCTTTCCCGTCCTTTTTTTCTATTATTTTTATTATTTATTATTATTATTTTTTTCTTCCCGTTTCCTCGTTTATTAATTTAATAAATATATATTTTACACGCACTCTTTTTCTCCATCATCACGAAGAATTTATAAATGAGCGAAGGTTTTGTCGCCCATCCGTTTCTCTCGCCTCGTCTTCCAACTCCGGGGCCTTTTCCACAAGCACAAAGGCCCTGCGCAGCACCACACCCGAACAATCCTTCGAGCAGTCTTTTGAGCAGACAAAAACTGTCACCGAACCCCAATCAACGCCCTCATCCGCAGCGGATTTCCCAGTCGCTATGTATTCCCCAACACGTAAATAATACACACATGTAGGCATGAGTTGTAATTCATGCATGAGAGCAGCTCCACAGCTGTCACATGGTGGAATTCGAGCTCTATTCCCCACATTTCTGGGATGCATAAAAAGTGGCGAAGCGGTTGGTGCCGGTGCTCCGTTTTTCTTCTTCCCCAATGGGTCACGCACATAATAGCGAAGAACTTGTCTCGGTTCCCTTGCCATTCGTCTTCGAAATTTCTCAAACTCATGATCGGAAGGTTTGTCCTTTAAATCAATCGTTCGTTCCAACTCCTTTATATCGGCCTCTGTGATGCCAGCGTTTCGGGCTTTTTCTTCCGAAGCCCGAATCATTTCAGCCTCTAACTCGGTTGGTACAACAATTTCTTTTTTTGGTTCGGCTACGATTTCCACGAAGCACGGAGGAAATGTATGGGGCGGCAGTTCAGACGATCGCAAGGGATCGCACCGCGACATGTCTTCGGGTTCCTCGTCCTCCGCCGCATTTTCATCCACCGCGTCCACTTGAAGGGTGAAGGCGCACCAACTGCACGATGGCTGCGTTACACATGCGGCAGAGTTGCAGCAAAAGATGTAAATCATCCGGTGGTGTAAATCAGGTGCCGATGGCAGGGGACTAAAGGCCTGCAGAAGAAGAAACATCGGGTGGCCACACACCCCGCAGGTGGTCCATCCTCGAATGGTGGCCTTTTCAGCATCCGAAAGTGCCGGAAAGTACGTCGGCGTGCCGCCAATTTTCGTCTCAGACGTCAGCGCATTGCGGTCCAACGACATGTAGCCGTCAAATACGCCCAACAACACTCCCGTCATTTGACAAGTCGCACTGAGACATGCAAACAACTAAAAATAATAAAAATGTCTGTTTTTCCCTCCCTATTCGTCGTCGTATTTCCCCCTCCTCCCCCCACCAAACGCATAAACAAATAAATAAATAACACAAAGACAGACAGACAGAAGAAAAAAGGGGGGCAAAACAGAAATTTCCACACATTTTAAAAAAAAAAAGAAAAAAAAAACACCCAACAACAACGACAACAACAACAACGACAAAACAAAAAAAAAAAACATCAGAAAAATAAAAAAGAGAAAAAAAGAAAAAAGCCCTACTCGCACACATACACACACAAATACGCATACATACAAATATCTGCAAATA